CGTCTCACGTGGCCAACAATATTCTGTCCGCATACATTCAATTACTCATTACTTCGTCACGTTGTGACCGTCTTATATATACAACACTAACACATATCTACTAAACGCAAGGGCATTCATGAAGGAACAGGATATTTCTAGAAAGAGGTGGCGTGATACTAGTCACGTGACCTCGCTGACGCAACAGTAATAACAAGTAAAGAACATACGCTGATAAGAGTTCTTTAGCTATCTGAGAATATCTACGTTTTTATAAACCATTACGATAATACTCGATTAGAAAAGATGTAATAGAAACATACTTTTCTGGTGACGCATAGTTAAGTAGAATAAATGCATATTTAAAAAGCGTAAACACAGCGTATATACTGTGTTATACTACGTGACTCGGAGGAGTACGTTTGCGTTCGCCTTGTTGCTATTATACCTAGTGCCTTCTCTATTTCTTTTATTACCTCTATGTTTTGTTCCAGGAATGTGCAACCTATATAATGTGACAAACATTTTTTACCAATACGAATTAAACCTAACAATATAAACATGTTTATAAACAACACGGTATGAAATATAAGCGAGGGCAATAAACTCTAAAAAAAAAAAACCTTGACATACGTAAAATGAGCGATTCCAAAATTACCGTTTAGTTTCTTTAAAGTGGCTTTACGAATTTAAAATAATTATTAATTGGTTACTTTTGCTTTAATTACAAAATTCTAATTACTAACTGTTTTTTCTTCCTTCGTTTCGGCTACTAATCTGCTGCCATCTTTATCGAAGTCCGTGTCTTCTTGATTGCTTGTTATTGAACACAAAGCTACACAATAGGCTATTTGTGCTGTGCCCACCACGACTATCGAAACCTGATTTTTAGCAACATTAGTCTTCAGACGTACCGCTGAACCAGTAGTGAGGATCTCGTCACAGATGGGCTAGTGTGCTATCAATTCGTCAGGTGTTTATCCCAACTGGAGTTAAAACAGTTAACTTCGTTGATTTTATACGGAAAACAAAACAAAAAACTAACGCGTTATGTACGATTATGTACAAAAACTGACGAGTTTTAAAAGAAAAAAATTATTCCAGTAAGCCATGTAAGTAACAACTTGTAGCCGGCCATTTTTCCATCCTTTGTAGTCCAGCTCTTATTAGCTTTTTACTTTTCAATTATTTCCATCCTCAACAGTCCGGCCCCTTCATAACTTTTTACAATTATTTCCATCCTCTACAGTCCAGTCCTTCATAACTTTTTACCATTATTTCCATTCTCTACAGTCCGGCCCTTCATAACTTTTTACCATTATTTCCATTCTCTACAGTCCGGTCCTTCATAACTTTTTACCATTATTTCCATCCTCTACAGTCCGGTCCTTCATAACTTTTTACCATTATTTCCATCCTCTACAGTCCGGTCCTTCATAACTTTTTACCATTATTTCCATCCTCTACAGTCTGGTCCTTCATAACTTTTTACCATTATTTCCATTCTCTACGGTCCGGCCCTTCACAACTTTTTACCATTTTTTACGCCCTTCACAGTCCGGGCCTTCATAACTTTTTATCGTCCAATTATTTCCATCCTCTACAGACAGGTACCCCTTCTTAACGTTTTACTGTCCAATTTTTTCAATTCTCTGCAGTCCATTCTTTCTTAAGTTTTTGCCAGGCCTTTTAGAACATGTTGGACTACTGCGATTTAAAGTGCCACAAAATGCGTATGTAATTTGGTAACAGGTGTGATGCAACAACAGAAGTGTGAAATAACATAAAGAGAGGAAATTCCCAATAAAAAACATTAACCTATAAAATACCATGCTCCTAGCATTTTACATAATTTCACTTTATTAATGATACTACTAATAATTTTAATTTGCGTTGGATTCTTTAACACAAATATATGACATAAAATATCTTTATCGAGTTTACAACATTTCTTGGCCTCTATATACTGACACTGGTTACTTTTAGCTTTACTCTTTTTATTAAACTATTGCATTTTTAATGGCTTTGCCATTTTCATACACATTTTTCCCCTTACCCACCCCTTCTCTCCCGATGTTAACTTACATGAGGATCAACACAGATCTTTTCAGCCATCTGGTGAATGTGGTGTAGCTTGTTATTCACTTGATTCTCCAGATTAAGTGCGTCCTCGAGTGCTTCCATGCCATTCTTCCAGATCGTCTTTCCTGGCATCTGTAGGGTCATAATAGTATGGTATTACAGTATTATTGAAACATTATGTAGCACTAAGAAATAATCATAATAATGCATTCCATCATAAGGACAAGATTTTCTTTCACGTTTTTTCTTAAAAAAGTGTTACAAAAGATCATCATTTTTAGCCCTAACCGACCCATGTTCAATAAAATTCATCCACATCTAAGATAGACTTTTAAAAATTATTGTACCAAATTTCCCTTATTAATTGCCATTCTCAAATAATAATGATGATTATAATAATGCAATACAAAAATGAAATCTTGCTATATATACTCCTGATATTTTAAAATGTGGCATTATTCAGTGCAAAAAATAAAATTTCCAAATGTTTGGGTGCTTCAGAATAATAAACTCTTTCACACAAACGTTCCTGAAGATGATGAACAGGGTACCATTTGATAATTTTATTGCCATCTTATAATTAATTATTGGTGATTTACGTGATATTTCAGTTGGACATTCTACTACTTAGCCACTAGTGATAAAATCTTAAATACGTACCTTGATGTCAAAAGCAGTCACCCAACCACTACGTTTATTAATATAATCAATCAGTTTCTGCGCATGCTCCCGTTCCTCATCTGAGCTGTGTTTAAAGAACTTGCTGAAGCCCTTCCTTCCAACAGAGTTACTGCCGAAGTGGGCAGCCATATGCATGTACACCAAACTGGCATGCATTTCTTCATTGATCTGTACTTGAAGGCCACTGATGCATTTATTGTCCAAAATATACCGATCCATGGAAGAATCTTTCATATCATTATCTGTGCAAAATAAGACAGAAAAATACTCCATACACTTCGGACAACTAGCATCTGTATCAGAAAAGCACTGAGAAATTTGTTTGTTTATTTCAAATTCCATAACGGTCTGACAACGAGGATTTATATCAGTTAACAGTAAAACACAGAGATTCGTTTGTTTGTTTCAGATTCCATAGGTTTCTGACATGCAGCTAGCACTTATATTAGTTAACTGAAAAACTGACTATTTTTTTTTTTTGGGTTTCAGAATTGTTAGTAAACCACATAGACTATCTGCGCATAAGCTTTCCTAATTTTGAATTTACAAGTTACAGGAAAGGCTGCTAGTCAACATTTCCGGTGTTGACTTGGTTTTAAAAAGGCAAGAAACTATTCATCCGACAGAATTCATATATTTTTATTTTACTTGGCAGTTCCATGCAAAACAAAGCGTGGGTTTAAGGCAATAACATTATTCAAAGACCGTTAAAACTTGGACATTAAAGTGATCACCTAATATATAGATATGGTACTATAGTATTTTGTGGCAGCCTGTGTTGGTGTGTGAAAACAGCGAAAGGTAATGGCTGATCGTGAAACCAACGTAACGTTCTTCACTAGACTAATTATAAGTACAACAAATTAAATAGTTTTACACTTAGTACGAGTCACATCTTTTTTTAATAAGCTATTATTGTTATTCGTGTTTTAT